AGGTATGTAGGTATGTAGGTATGTATGTATGTATGTATGTATGTATGTATGTATGTAGGTCGGTAGGTAGGTAGGTATGTATGTATGTATGTAAGTTGTTTGTGAGTAGGTTGTTTGTGAGTAAGTTGCTCCGCTTTCTACGAGTTCCACCAGGCTGTGTTATCAAAGCGATGGTGTGCTCAGTTGACTTCTGCTGACCAAAGTAATGTTCTGCACTCTTTCGGGCGCAGCCGCAAATGTTTGCAGATTTGAAGTGACTCCATGTTTGCAGATTTGTTTTGCTTGTTTTGGAAGTTTTCAGATTTTAGAGTTTGTTCAGTGTTGGGTTTTGTTTATGTCTGTTTGCTTCTACGTTTTTGCAATTAAAGCTTCCACTAGATGAGCCTTAGTGTGTGTGTGTGCGCGCGCATTACTTCACCATCGACAAGCAACACCTGGCAGCACAGAAAAAGGATCAAGATGACGAAAGCACAAAATAAAATAGTTCTTTGGTAGAGATCCACAGCGCAGCCTGCAGTTGTTGGCATCGACTCATTGTCGGGCCGTGAGACACGCGCCTGTCCTCCGTCCAAGAAGCTCACTGGAAGGGCACCTGCGGCAGTTGCAAAGACACAGAGGCTTCATGCGTGCTATCTTGTTACTACATGACAGCTGCAATGGCTCGGCACAGCATGAACCCAAAGAACCAATCTATTCTACATAGCTTAACCACAGTAGATATCTTATTGATCAACCGTATACATGGTCCACACTACGCCGCAAGTGCAGCTCCCGGCCTGCGCATTACTTCATCATCGACAAGCAACACCTGGCAGCACAGAAAAAGGATCAAGATGACGAAAGCACAAAATAAAATAGTTCTTTGGTAGAGATCCACAGCGCAGCCTGCAGTTGTTGGCATCGACAGCAACAGAGCGCAAAAGTACCTAGCCGCAAAAGGACAGGACGCGTATATGGAGCTAGCTATCAAAGCAACATGCGCAGAAACGATACAATTCAGTCTCTTGCACGAATTGTCTCCTTTTTGTGTGATCAAAATCCTGACAAGACCTGTAGCACTTCGTCCCGCAGTGTGGCCGACTCTAAACGTGTCACGAACAGTCTTGATTTGGCCGTCGCGACCCCAGTCTTCCCACATTAGGTCAACAATGAGTCTGGCAGCCAAGAAAACATCACGTGGCCGTCGTCATTCATGTCTTCCCACACTGAGTCAATCATGAGATGAGAGCTGACAAATCCGGACCAAGCGCGCCACACAGTACCATGAGTGCCACGCCTGCCACGCAAAACGACGGTGGATGTGAGTTAGTGCCACGCCTGCCACGTGAAACGAAGGTGAATGTCACCAAGTGCCACGCCTGCCACGCAAAGTGGCGCGGCGCCCCTGGCGACAAATCCGGACCAAGCGCGCCACACAGCACCATGAGTGCCACGCCTGCCACGCAAAACGACGGTGGATGTGAGTTAGTGCCACGCCTGCCACGTGAAACGAAGGTGAATGTCACCAAGTGCCACGCCTGCCATGCAAAGTGGCGCGGCGCCCCTGGCGACAAATCCGGACCAAGCGCGCCACACAGCACCATGAGTGCCACGCCTGCCACGCAAAACGACGGTGGATGTGAGTTAGTGCCACGCCTGCCACGTGAAACGAAGGTGGATGTCACCAAGTGCCACGCCTGCCACGCAAAGTGGCGCGGCGCCCCTGGCGACAAATCCGGACCAAGCGCGCCACACAGTACCATGAGTGCCACGCCTGCCACGCAAAACGACGGCACATGTGAGTTTGTGTGAACGACGGTGGATGTGAGTTAGTGCCACGCCTGCCACGTGAAACGAAGGTGGATGTCAGAGTGCCACGCCTGCCACGCAAAACGACGGCACATGTGAGGTTGTGTGTGTGTGCGTGTGTTGTGTGTGTTTTGTTGGTGTGTGAAGTTATTGTCTGTTAAGTTTGTGTGTGTTAAGTTTGTGTGTGTGTTAAGTTTGTGTGTGTGAAGTTATTGTCTGTTAAGTTTGTGTGTGTTAAGTTTGTGTGTGTTAAGTTTGTGTGTGTGAAGTTATTGTCTGTTAAGTTTGTGTGTGTGAAGTTATTGTCTGTTAAGTTTGTGTGTGTTAAGTTTGTGTGTGTTAAGTTTGTGTGTGTGAAGTTATTGTCTGTTAAGTTTGTGTGTGTGAAGTTATTGTCTGTTAAGTTTGTGTGTGTTAAGTTTGTGTGTGTGAAATTATTGTATGTTAAGTTTGTGTGTGTTAAGTTTGTGTGTGTGAAATTATTGTATGTTAAGTTTGTGTGTGTTTTGTTACGGAGGCCGCGGGAGGAGGAGGAGAAACCCGGGATACAGAATCAAAAACAAGAACCCCACACAAAGATGTGGGGAAAAACATACTGAAATCATTACAGTGAACAATTGTACTTTTCATGTGTCTAATGATTTCTTCGGGGTTACTATACTCAAAACCACGATTTGTGACTTGTGAGGGCTCCAACTGTGGTTGGCCACATGCCCGCTTTGGAATGCCGATGTTCGCTGCAGGTTGATTCATTGTTTGTCAATAGTTTCAAGATTCTGACATATTCTGAAGCAAAAATTTCCAGTTTGCTCAAGGTTGTGAAGACCAAATTCCAGCAATTCCCTTCAAATCTCTGATAGATTCTATGATCCGCCGTTCCTGATCCCAGGAAAGTGAAAAGCGATCCAGACTAAGAAGATTGCTGGAGAAGGCCCATGGAATGCATGGAAGCAAGGCATTCAGCAATATACAGCAGGTGGATTTCAGCAGGAGAATATCCCCACTCCAGGTTAAACTCCAGGTGATGCTTCCATCAGCATCACGTAACACACGTGGTTTCCACTTTGAGGCTTGCTCGGAATTGAGGACCCCGACACGTTTGTAGTTCTCAGAGCCGTTTCACATGTAAAAAAGACCGTAGCGGTTAAAATGACATATACTGCATATCCACCCTAAAGTTATATGTGCAGATATGATATGTAGAAATGGGTCGAACCCCTGGTACCCTCAGCCCCAAATATGGCAACATAGGATTTTGACCGGTGTTCTTTGTTCAAGAAGCCGGTAGATTTTCTCTCCGTTGATCCACTGAAGTGGCCTGGAGGTGTTGGGTCCCAAAATCACCACCACGGTCCACGGTGCTTAATGAGTTTCGCTGAAATTCGCCGTTGAATTCCGAACATGTTCGTGAAAATTCCAACTGCAGGGTGGCAACTTGGCAACCCTGTTGAATCAAGTGAAATCCAGTGTTGGGGCGTGTTAAACCTCCATGTTTGCCGCTAGAATCGTATTTTGCGGTTGCTTCACCTTCCAGGATCTTCTATTTTTACTCATGAAAACGTGGTGAAATCCCAATATTTTTGTGGCTTCCAATCCATGTCGACTCGCCTCAGATTATGGACGGCTCCAAAATCCTGATCTTCTGCCAGACCAAACGAGCAGGGGATGAGCTGACCCGTGAAATGAGGACGGGAGAGCGGTGAAGCCTACCGGTTCAGGGAAAACATTGCGGGGGGCTACATGTGGAAAACTCATGAGGAAATCCTAGGAAAATGTTGGATGTGTTTTTTTTTCCACATCTATGTTAGTTTACCCTAGATATCTCTAGATTATATTTTACGAAATAACACATGGATGAGGTCCGTACCCCAATGAGAAAGATCCAACAACTTGTCTCAATTTGGAAAGAAAAAAACACGTTGATGAACCAACCACCATTTTGGGAAAACAAGCAAACAGGCATGGTACCTTTTGCAGGGTACCTAAGGTTGGAAAGGGAAAACAACTGCAACATCCTGCAGCAAATGACACCTGGAAACCGGCAACCTATCCAATTTGCTAGCGCAAGTAGTGAAGCTTAGCCCCACCCCAGAGGAACCACACCCGTCACGCCGCTGAAATGCTCTGCCTGAAACCCAAAAAAGTGGAACAGAGGCGAGACAGAAACTCGCGATTACAAGATTTTCCCAATGACATGTTGATTGTTTCAAGTGCATAGTGATGTCTTTCAGTACCCTCTGCCAATCCCAACAATTACTTTTACAATGTGTTTTCGATGGTTCTTAAAGATGTCGCGACCATAGAGCCTCAACAGTTCTGAGCGCAAGGAGTTTTGTCAATGTCTTGGAATAGGGATTTCAACCAGCACCCGCGGATATTGCCAACATCGTCGGAATATGGTGCCCAAAAAATTGCCATGGGCCATGATGGCCATGTTGCGTCAGGACAGATGGCTTCCCAGCTCTGTGTATACACGGTGAGAAGCGACAAGAGGAGCCAATCCTTGGGGGATCCGGGACCTGACATCAAGTCACCTCCATCCACGCTTCCGGATGCCGACCTCTGGGGATTTTGGGGGGATCCCATCCGACACCTGGGCGCTTCAGGAGAGAGACTGGGTTATGAAAGAGTTTAAAGAAGGAAACTTGGCCGCGGTTGCTGTGGTCCCTGCCAGATTTCCACGCCCTGTAAGGATTCAGGGTATCATAAAACAATATAAAACATAAAAAATCCAGGAACTAGATTCACGTCGTTGTTCATATTTGGTTGGTGCTTTGGAACATGTTTTTCGTATTTTCCATGTAATATATGGGAGAATCCTGCCCATTGACGAACTCATATTTTTCAAGATGGTTATTGCACACCAACCAGTATACCATTTGCGGCATCTGCCATTTTAGGAGATCAACCCCACGAAGCCGACCCTCCAGGCAAGTCGCCCATCCTGGTGGCAACGGACTTGGCCTCCCGCGGTTTGGACGTCAAAGATATCAAGTGCCCGCCGTCGGAACTGCCGGGTCCAACGGGGCCCACAGCTGCCAAACCCACCGTTGATTGGATATGATTGGATATTAATAAGGGGTTACACTACGCTACCTGGTGACAAAGACTGAACATGACAAATTCCTGTGGGATTCCCCTGACATCTGACTATTTCAGGAAAGTCAGCGAAGGGGGTGGGATGTTCTTTTCCAGGTGCGTGATCAACTACGACTTCCCGAACCAGATTGAGGACAGGCTACCCCAGATGGTGGTTGATTTGGGGCCAGATACGATTTGACATGGGATCCTTTTACCATCGATTCAGGGAAGAAACACCTCAATGATTTCTGGTTGGTGATGTCATGCGTGTCATATTTGCATATTATGTTGTTACATGTTCACATTTTGAGACTCGTTTAGTTCTTTAGGACGTTTTTTTCAGAAACAACCAGTTTGCCTGCCACCTGATAGTTGAAAAGGTCTTAACTGCCAGTTCTTCAGGACTTACTGTATCATGCTTGAAAAGAGTCAGAACCTTGATCAACCAAAACCAACCAAAATTCCTGGTGATACCTCTCCTTGTACATTGTAAAATCAGTAGTTGAAAACGGGTGCAATGCCAAAAAACATTGAAACTAAATCGGTATTTGAGGATGTGTGTTCTCCCAATTTCAGAGGTTGATATAGACCCCGATAGAACGTCCATCCATAGAGGTTAATCTTTTTCCTAATGGCTGGAATCAAACAAAAAGGGGTGTCCTTTCATTCGTTCAAAATACTCCAAGTGTTTGATGTCAATAAACGTGATCATGTTCCATAGAAGTGTTGAATCATTCTGGACAGATTTTTTTTCCCAGAATACCAGAAATTACCAGAATATTCAAAACTTTTGACGTCAACTGATAAGGCGGCCCCCCGCAAACCTGAATTTGTCTCACAATCCGACTGTTTGAACACATCTCCGCCATACTTCCTTCAATATGGAGTTATACAATATTTATCAATATTATATATTATACTTACATAATTATAATATACATCTCCGCCATACATCCTTTAATATGGAGCTATTCATTAATGTTCTTTATATATATATTTATCATTATTATTATTACCACACTACATAAAATCACCATAAATCAAGTGTTGGATCTTTCCGCCAAGTTTCAGCCATGTTTTGTTCTCAACGTTTGGAACCATCCGAGGACTACGTGCATCGTGTCGGGCGAACTGGCAGAGCTGGAGCTTCAGGCAAGGTTTTTTGATGGCGTTGTGAGGTTGGGTTGGGTCCTAAATCGCATTTATGATGATTCAGCAAAAGAATTGGATTGTGGCATGACTAAGTCCCAAAATAACTGGAGTTATCCTAATTTTGTGGTTGTAGCCCAAAAAAATGTTGGTTTAGAGTAGGATTTAATACCCACAAAGGTGTAAAAAACACACGACACTGTCGTCATACTGTGGATAGAACCAACAATCTGCGGCATGTACCGCAGTTTTGTGCCATAGTCAAGAAGTCGGTCATATACGAATGGGAACGCCTGTTGGTTGTCCAATGCTAAGACGCTCAAATAGTGTTTGAATATGTTTGAATGATATTATATAACTCATCATATCATTGCATTGTTATAATTATATATATATACATTTTTAAATGTTTAACCTAGTCTGAATAATGATGTGATTATACTTTCCCCACAGATCATGTTGTTTTCTTCCCCACGAACTGCGACCCTGATTAGGGATTTGTTTTTGTCCATCAGAATTGGAGATGTGTTGTCAACAAAGAACAAACATGAAGATACATCCATCCAAAATGATGATTCAATCATATTTAATGTTCAAAATCATGCAACGATCATTGAACTACATGCATGAGAACTGGACTGTAACAAAATCATCCTGGCTCTAGGTGTTTTGAACTTTGGACATATAAATACATAGAAATACTGCATCCATGTCGCTCATGGTCCGCGTCTCGGGGATGGTTTTCATACTCCTCAAAACTCTGGTGGGCAAATCATCAGAGGCAGTAATACAACCTGTTTTATGGTGGATTGCTGTATTGTAATACATATATATATATATAGATATGTGTATTATATATATAATATATACATTATCATTTCTGTCATAAATCATGGGAATCCTATCCTCAACCAGTTCCAGCTTTCGAAGGGATGACAGCCAGGTTCTGCATATACCTTCTTTACCGCCGACAAAGCAAAACATGCCAAGGCTGACGGGGCGGAGAAACGCTAGCAACTTTTGGAGGTGGTTAGCTCAATCCCAGATGCTCCATGTATGGCATATTTACCAACATTTACCTTAAAATTCACCCAAATGTAGGTAAATATACCACACAGCATATGGGAATAGGTAGCAAGGGAACCAATTTTTCAATGCTCCTGTGGATGGGGTTCATTTTTTGGGTGTACTCCCTGGATCTCTAAGGCCAGCCTCCGTTTGTGTTGGATCGAAGTAGGGTTGATATTGTTTTTCCGTTTAATAACTCAGCCATCATTGGAACTCTTAGTGTTGGTTTAAACATATTTAAACAACAAAGAGTGGCGGCCTGCGTAGGATCTCATCGACGTGCTGAGGGAGGCCAACCAATCTGTGCCAGAGGAGCAACTTGCGGATTTGGGATGTGATCCCCAATGGATATGATTATAGGCTATTATATAAGATCGATGCAATGGATGATTATGTATATGGGAACATATATGGTAGATTATGAATGATTATAATATTTATCATGATATCATATGAATGTATACTTTTTTGGTGGGACAGGATGGGATTCAAAAGGTAATTTGAGGTCCTAGATATCTCCATTTGACCCTCGACTGGTTTAACCATTTTTAGCACTGTTTCAGCAGTCAAATTGCCGTCCACCAGTTACTGAGTAAATTTCAGGAGGCTAGTTTGATAGTTTATTGCTGTCAAAGGTCACATCCATATATTTTTTTTACCTATGTATATATATATATATACAATATACATAATTATATATCTATGCCTTATGAAAAATATTCAGAATTCATACACACATACATTTATACCCTCATCTTACACGCACAACCCCCCAAAAGTCAGGAGCTGGAGAGGATCGCTTCTTCAGGCGATCCGTGCTTGGTTCGTTTTTTGGTACAGCTGGAAGGTACACATTTTCAGACATATCTTTGTCTCGGTTTTCTCTGTTTCGGTAAGCCTTTGCCATTGCCAGTTTCCCTGCAAAGGCCATAGACGGTGACGTTCAGAATTCTCTAGACTGGAGGCATTGGGTGAGGATTTGCTGGAAGGGATAGTTGAATTTCCAACCCCAAAAAACATGTCTTGAACTTCAATGCGAATGATGTGTTTTTTCCTATTTTGAGCTGCCTCCTATGGAGATCATCCCGTCACATGGTTATTGACCGGATGGCCCATCGCCGGATAGCGCTGCGGGGGTGGGGGGGCAGGACGATGCATTAATTCTGCAATTCGGGCACTGAGTCCACAACCTCCAAAGAACATGTGTTTGAGTATTCAAGGCATGAACTAGACCTAAATGAGGCGGAGGAAGTGTCAAGCCGAGAGAGACAGCCTAGGTTGACCACATGTTCTTGTAGCCGGGCATCTTAGGACATGTCAGGACACTTCTGACTGACGATGCACATGTCCCACTACAAAGCAGGAATGCGAAAGGAATGTCACACATGTTCACACCACGTTTACCGGATGTTTAAGCAACGCACATCAATTGATCAATATATTTCACTATAGTTATCGCAACGTGTGCTAGCAAAGCCAGCAACCAAAGGTCATTGTGCTGGCACAGGACGCTGCTTGATGTGAGGGGCGCATTCGATGGTCCAGACTCAACATAGATGTACCAAGTCAAGGTTATCCAAGTTTGCTTTCACTTTCTATATCCCAAGCACTTTAACAAATGCATTCAATGGTATGTTTATGTTCACCTGCAAATGTGCCGTGAATGACGGGTTGACGGTTTGAAGCTGTTTTGTTTTTTATCTTTCGGAAGGTGATATTCGACGAGAATCCACTAATTATCATCGCATTCCTTTTTGAAAACAGACAAGTTATTTCAGTGGCGTGCCCCGTTGGTCAGTTTGCAACAGGATTTTTGTGCGAAAGTGTTGCTTTCTCAGGATGTTTGTGCATGGATAGGAGAAACATGAAGAAACACCATGGGCACTCTTGAAAATAATATCCATATTCCATGTGTTCATTTTTTTTTCCCCATAATCTATCCTTGGATGTTCCATTCGTCAATGCATTAGATCCATCCTGCCAGTTACATCTTCATGACACCTGATCGATCCATGCATTAAGATATCGTCCGAGCTTGGACCCCGGCGCGAGTTTCGCCTGTCGTGGAAAGTGCGAGTTTCGCCATGGTCACTGAGCCCTACGACATGCGCGATGTGAAGAAAAGGACGTCAGCTGAATAGATTCTATACCAGTTGTGTTACTATAATTATTATATATTATTGAATATTGAAATATTGCAATTAGATATATATATATACATATAGTATGTAGAATTCCTTGCCTAAATTATTACGACCTCACTGCGAGCTCACTGGAATCATGATTGGGACTGGGGTAACTATCGTACAATGGTTAGTTTTATTTCAGGTTAGCGGATTCTTATGATTTAGAATTTAGAATGTATACCCCGTAAATGGGGGTAATAGAGGGATATAACGGCATATTCAACCAACTTGATGATATTATATTTGACTATGTGAACATTGGGAGTTTGGTGAAAAAATGAAGATTGAAACAAAAGAAAATGTCATGATTCAGCTCACCGTCAGAATAAAAGTTGGATGGCAACACGCATGGAAATGATATCAAAATTTCAGATACCTGCAACTACAAATGGGCAATTGATGACTGCTGACTGGAAATGCAATGATCCCTGTAGGGCGCGCATAGCGATTATATTCTGGGGCACGTATATTTATCTCATACATATATGTATATATATATATATCTAAAGTTAGTCTATATACATATATACACAGAAGTATGCAATGGTTATTTATATTATAATTATATATATATGTATATAGGGTGTCACGTATAGTACAGTTACAAACTCAACCATGAGCTATTCACCAAACCTCAAGTTGGTCGATGTTGTTAACATGATGGTTGCACGGTGATTGGTAGTAACTATATATAGTTAACCTCTTCTAACTCCGGTAAACCAGGATTACTATACTGGTGCTAAAACATCACAAAACCCCAACAAAAGCAACTGGAACGTCGAACTTGGAACGTCTGCTTCGCCTTTGGTTTTTTTTTTCAGATGGGGTATCCCCAATTCGATGGTTTGTTGGTTAAGATCCTGCACCCGCACTGCAGCCATTTTTTTTTCCTCGGGGCTCGACTGGCTCGCATTTCTGGGGCGATGTCCGATGCCCAGGGAAATTCCCTGTTGGACCATTGGAGCAGACTGAGAGGGTCACTTGGGGATCAGGGAAACATCATAAATATATACTGTATCCCATTATAATCCATTATATATATAATTTTATATATTGGTGTAATGATAGGCTAGTTATTGCGAAATAAAGATAATAAAGCATCAAGACATTGGTGATCAGGGAAACTATAGGATATCCCTGCTGTTGTCCAGGTTGTGTTTCATCCCAGTCCCCTGATATGAAATTCCTATAAAAATAGACCCTTGAAATCAACGGATCCAATACGAAGCCACCAATCTTTGTGGATTACTGGATGCTGATGTTCTGGGGATTCACCCACGATGGGAATCGTGCTGCCAGTGGGGAAAGCGTAGTTTCTTAGTTTGGCCACAAAACTGGATATTGATCATCAAACTTTGGGTTTCAATTGTCAAAACATATTTTGACTAAGATAGGTCTAGAGTCTATAGAGTAAACCATAAACCTGTGGTGTGGAGATGGCGCAAGGTGAACTTAGCATTGCTCTTAAATGGTGTTAACAAGTTGACACGCAGCGCTTTTTGAGGTTGAGTTCTCCGTCGGTCCTGACCCTCAGTCCCTGAGAGTCAAGATGTTAGAGCCCCTAAACGCATCTGAAGCAGCCAATCATGTGGAGCCACGAATTGGATGATTGATACTGTATGGTTTGGTGCATTTACTGTAAGAGTAATGTTGGTAAGGCAATCATAAAGCACCCATATGTTGATCGTTAAAAAACATGGTGTAAAATTGGGGATGGTGGATCCAGTTTTTGCTTTACTATGCTTTACTATGCTTTACTCACATTACATAACATATCCATACATAGCTATTTTTCAATAATGATGATCTATAGTGGATTTACCCATTGATAGCATGGTGATTTTCCACAGTTATGTGATTATGTGGCTGTTTTACCAGAGGGTAACCTATCCATACATATGGGTATGGATCAATACCTATTAATACCATTTTTAGGGGGATGAACATCCATTTACCAGCTATTTTGATGTGAACTACAGGGGTACAAGGTTTTGACACACTGCCATATCCAAACTTGTTTAAGCAACAGTTGCAGTTCAGAACTCCTCAGCGCCACTCCTCTGGCGACTCGGAGAAAAAAACCTGCCAAAAAAGGCCGCGGCTGGCGCAGCGGCTTTCGTGGCCCTGGAGCCCTTGAGGTGGGGAGAGTCCAGCGATTCCACCATGAGAAATATAGGCTATTTAGCCTCTGGTTATGACTAACAGTTCGCCACGGAAAGATCCACCAATCACCATGTTTTTAATAGGTAAAGCCGCCAAGATGAAACAAGGATAGGAAGATGGAAAGAAAAACCATGTTTTAAGTGGACTTCTGATGATGATTGTCTGGATTAGGATGAACTAAACTTATTTTAATTATGACTATATAATGGATTATTGTTTGGTTGATTATGGAGTTCAAGAGTTGCTTATCAATTATAACATGTTTCATTATCTCTAGTTTGGTTCAGTTGTTTCTTTGGGTTGATCTGAAAATCGAGAACTCCTAAGTCCACTAGTCATATTCCCTATATTGAATACACATGTTGCGGGGTATACGCATTTTCAGACAAACCCATGTGGTTGTATTTGGTTCATTATGGAGTAAATCGCTGAGAATGATGCTGTCAAATCAAGCAAGCACCGAAATGGGATAGCACCCACCTACATGGGACGTATAGCATCCACATACATCAGTAGATTAAGAGAAGGAAACGCGGGCCTTTTTTCTTGTTTGGATGTTTCGTGGGATGACAAGAACTCCCAAACTAGGATGGACTGGATATTTGAGCCAACGCCCTAGGCCGAGGCAGATCCCGAGTCAACGGACGCCAGAGACTCAACATGGGACCCCAAAATGAAGAGACCCAGGGTTAAACTAAGGTTTAGGGATAGGGAAAAGTAGCTCTGGAGATGGATTTGGAATTGTTTGGACACACCTTCCATCCAGAATTCAACTTAGTGATACATGTCTTGAACCAAACAAAGCGCAAGAACTTAACGCCATTTTTCGCCGAGGTCAGCACTGTAAAATTATGACATACTCCACTGGGTATTTCGTGCCAAATCTGCAATGGTGTTTGAGTGTTTGGTATCATTTCAAGGAATTGGGGCTTGAACCATTTTTGTAGTCTCTGAGGTCCAGCGCCAACGGCGCCGTGGCTGTGGGCTCTTCGCGGCCGAACGGTGCTAGCAGCGCCTCGTTTTGGACCACCTCGCTGTTCGCGTGTGCGGCGCTGTCCAGGTGGCTTCCTGAAGTCGAACTGCGGCACACTCCACCGGAAGCTGTATGGGAATTGTTAAAAAAATGTATTCAAACTTGATCAAACTTGTATTTCTCCAAAAATGGTGTCCCGAAAAGAGATCAAGAGATGAGCAATTTCGTGGGTCCATTGGTACCCTGGAATCTAATCACTTTCACCCAGCTGACGCATTTTTCGGGCTCTCGCTGTTCAGGTTTGCCAGACGGCCGGCGCGGCCGGTGACAAAAACCGCCAGACCGGCGTACGCCTCGGCTCCGCAGACCTATGAGGCAAGCTTTGGCCGCCATTTCATGGATGGTTGTCAGTTTCCATCAGTTTCCCAAGGGACTGTAACTTGGCAGACTGGGTTTGCTGTCGTGCCACAATTTCTGGTTTCCATCATCAGTTTCTTTCAGTGTACCATAGTGATGATGATCCGCATTTCATATTACTGTTTTTGGGACAGGTTGAAACCACCAATCGGAAGAAATTGGGAGGTTCAATAGCTGTAGGCCAAAATGTTTCAGATATTTCCAGATCAGATGATACAGATTTTGGATGATTTTGGCCTTTTTCAGTTTTTAATCAACCAGAGTTGCGGGCACCTTTCGCAATTCTCGGTCCACCTGGTATCAGGGCGCTCCGATCGGCCCTCCTCCGGATTTGCCATCACTCCTGTTGAAAGAACGCCTGGAGCTGAAAAGTTGTGGCGTTCATCCATTCTGAGCAGCCACAGGTGGGTTATAAGGCAAAAATGTCAGCCATATTTGGTGGGTGGTTTCAAGGTTTGGTGGATGTTGTTGGTTATCTCTCCCTAAAACTGAGATCATGCTCCCCATTTTACTAGCCACCAATCAGAGTACGTTGACCCGTCAATTGGGCACGGAGATCCGTAGGAGGGAGAAGGGAAACCATGATAAGGAAATCCAGAGGTGAGAACTTTATCAACCCTACTGAAATATGTATATATATATAAATTGTTGATTGTATATCAAAGTGTCGTGAGTAGTCATGACAGATAATGATATAGGAGCTTCTACAGCCATTGCCCTCTGGCAATTAAACATGGCTGGAAAATCCACGATTTATTTCGATGATGTGACCGATGTTTTCCAAAGTTACAAAGCTGCATTTCGTTCGGGGGGTTTTCAAGCTAGCCACGTTTGACAACACCCAAGGGTATGTCCGTTAATATACCATTATTATTCCATTATAAATTATAAATCATACTTTTCATGATATTTCAATATTTCAGAATTTCATATGTTTCCTTTGTTGCTCATGTTCCCTTTGTGTCACTGAGGCATCGTCTATCTTGGTACACCCATCACCGCTGAGGCCTGGGTCACGGCTACAGCTGCGCAGTTTATAAACCAACTTACAACATCTTATAACTCAGGGGGGCCAGCTTGTAGCAGGCGGGCACAACATTGTAAAAACCTGGTTTCGTGGCGTTTATATATATAATATGTATCAAACACATTTGGGATGATTTTTCCCATTCACACATATTATTTGAACGGGGTTATACGGTTGATCGGGGTTGTAAGTTGTTTGATCTAGGTAGGTGAGTTATCGCGCACAGTTGTTTGCCTAATAATATGTTGATGACTCTATCACGAAAGCCAGCCGCTAGGCTAGGCGAAGTTCTTTTTGCGAACAAAGTGAGTTAAGGGGGTCTGGGGGCAGAGCGGTCCTAACTGGCCAAAAATCGGGAAAATAGGTGGTAAAAAAGGTGGCCACAGGTAAAGTTTTTTAGGGTTATGTACCAGGTGGCAATTGGGTGACGGTGGGGTATCGATTCCCCCCTGGTCCGCCCTCCGAGGTGGACTTGGGGAGATTGCAATGGAGGGGAAAATGATGAGAAAAACAATGGAAAAATGAGGGAATATGACATAAAACAATGGGAAAAAAATGGGAAAGGAGGGGAAAATGATGAGAAAAACAATGGAAAAAATGAGAGACTATGATATAAAACAATGGAAAAAATAGGAAAGCAAGGGAAAATTTGAGTAGAACGCTAATTGATACGCGAGGAAAAACGGTGGAAAGAATAGGGAGAGGGTAAAATGATGCCAAGTAAAATTGAGGCTCCGATGTGGGACCATTATCGCGTAATGGAAAAGCAATGGAAAAATTGCAGTTTCGATATGAGGAGATGACACACATGTGATGTGCAGAAGTTCAGTTTTTGCCCAAATTTTGGGATAAACAATGCCATATGTCTGAAATTTGGGATAAACAATGAACAAATGAGGGAATATGACGTAAAACAATGGGAAAAGAATGGGAAAGCAATGGCAAATTTGCGTAGAACGCTTGGAAAATTGATTACAACGGTGGAAACAATGAGGAGACGGTAAAATGATGCCAAGTCACGTAAAGCACGCGTGAAACATTGGAAAAGCAATGGAAAAATGGCCGTTTTGATTAACATGATGAGAAAAACAATGGAAAAATGAGGGAATATGACATAAAACAATGGGAAAAAAATGGGAAAGGAGGGGAAAATGATGAGAAAAACAATGGAAAAAATGAGAGACTATGATATAAAACAATGGAAAAAAATGGGAAAGCAATGGAAAATTTGAGTAGAACGCTTGGAAAATTGATACGCGAGGAAAAACGGTGGAAAGAATAGGGAGAGGGTAAAATGATGCCAAGTAAAATTGATCCCTTGGCTTTTGGGACATAGGACAGCATGGGACCACTATAAAATGGAAAACCACCCAAAAAAATACCCAGCTGCCCCAAAAATACCTAGCTCTGTCGATACAACAAAATACCCAGCTTGGAGTTTTCAAATTTGACATCCCTGACAACATGGGACCACTAAAATGGAAAACTTTCTCCATCCTACCCTAAAATACCGAGTGGCCCCAAAATACCCATCTCTGTCGATACCACAAAACACCCAGTTTGGAGTCTTTTTGTCGACATCCCTTGGCTTCGGGACATGATAGCATGGGACCACTATAAAATAGACAACTTTCTCCACCTATCCTGCCCGAAAGCACCCAGCTGCCCCAGAATACCTAGCTCTGGCGATACCACAAAACACCCAGTTTGGAGTCTTTTTGTCGACATCCCTTGGCTTCGGGACATGACAACATGGGACCACTATAAAATTATTTTTCTCCATCCTACCCTAAAATACCCAGCTGCCCCAAAAATACCCAGCTCTGTCGACACAACAAAATACTCAGCTTGGAGTCTTTTTGTCGACATCCCTTGGCTTTTGGGACATGGGACAGCATGGGACCACTATAAAATGATTTTTTTTTTCCATCCTACCCTAAAATACCCAGCTGCCCCAAAAATACCCAGCTCTGTCGACACAACAAAATACCCAGCTTGGAGTCTTTTTGTCGACATCCCTTGGCTTTTGGGACGTAGGACAGCATGGGACCACTATAAAATGGAAAACTATCTCCATCCCACCCAAAAAAATACCCAGCTGCCCCAAAATACCCAGCTCCGTCGATACCAGTCTTTTTGTCGACATCCCTTGGCTTTTGGGACATGGGACAGCATGGGACCAATGGAAACTACCAGAAAATAAGTCTTGGTCTTTGTGTCAGCATCCCTTGGCTTTGGGACGTCCCGGGCTAAAGAAAAATGTGGTGTCTTTGGGGCGATGATGGTGGGAGGATGTGGGGAGGCTGCGGCACTATAAAATGGAAACCCCCAACCCCCAGAAAATCCTACCAGGAAGGGCATGTAATCTCTATAAAATCAGAGCACCCAACCCCTCAAGAAACCATTCATTTTTGGATGTTGTAAGATACAGGGGGTTGGGGGTTCCTATTCTATAGTAGAAAGTTGGCTAGTTCCTTCATTTTAAGGCTAGGCTCCAGGGTACGTTGGGGCCTCCCATTTTATAGTGATGGAGGGTTTTGCAGTAAATTTGTAGCTGTAAATATTTGCTTTTTCAAATAAATTTCTTATTTTATAGAGGTGCACCTGTTTTGTGACCTTGGGTGTTTCCATTTTATAGAGGTCCCACTCCGGGGGGGGATGGGTGCCCCCGTTTTAGTACTATAAAATGGGGGCACCCAACCCCCCCACTTAATCTAGTAGGGGATGTGAAAAGTATATGGGTGAAAAGTATGTGCAAGAAGAGTTTCTGGGTGAAAGTATATGGGTGAAAAATATGTGCAAGAAAAGTTTCTAGGTGAAGAGTCTCTGGGTGAAAAGTATATTGGTGAAAAGTATGTGCAAGAAGAGTTTCTGGGTGAAGAGTCTCTGGGTGAAAAGTATATGGGTGAAAAGTATGTGCAAGAAGAGTCTCTGGGTGAAAAGTATATGGGTAAAAAGTATATGGGTGAAAAGTAAAATTGAGGCTCCGATGTGGGACCATTATATGTGCAAGAAGAGTTTCTGGGTGAAGAGTCTCTAGGTGAAAAGTATATGGGTGAAAAGTATGTGCAAGAAGAGTTTCTGGGTGAAGAGTCTCTGGGTGAAAAGTCTGTGCAAGAAGAGTTTCTGGGTGAAGAGTCTCTGGGTGAAAAGATGTGAGCAGTATATTGGTGAAAAGTATGTGCAAGAAGAGTTTCTGGGTGAAGAGTCTCTGGTGAAAAGTACTGGGTGAAAAGTAGGTGCAAGAAGAGTCTTTGGGTGAAAGTATATGGGTGAAAATATGTGCAAGAAAAGTTTCTAGGTGAAGAGTCTCTGGGTGAAAAGTATATTGGTGAAAAGTATGTGCAAGAAGAGTTTCTGGGTGAAGAGTCTCTGGGTGAAAAGTATATGGGTGAAAAGTATGTGCAAGAAGAGTGAAGAGTCTCTGGGTGAAAAGTATATGGGTGAAAAGTATGTGCAAGAAGAGTTTCTGGGTGAAGAGTCTCTGGGTGAAAAGTATATGGGTGAAAAGTATGTGCAAGAAGAGTTTCTGGGTGAAGAGTCTCTGGGTGAAAAGTATATGGGTGAAAAGTATGTGCAAGAAGAGTTTCTGGGTGAAGAGTTCTGGGTAAAAAGTATATGGGCGAAAAGTATGTGCAAGAAGAGTCTCTGGGTGAAAAGTCTGTGCAAGGAGAGTTTCTGGGTGAAGAATCTCTGGGTGAAAAGTATATGGGTGAACTGTATGTGCAAGAAGAGTTTCTGGGTGAAGAGTCTCTGGGTGAAAAGTATATGGGTGAAAAGTATGTGCAAGAAGGTTTCTGGGTGAAGAGTTTCTGGGTGAAGAGTGAAAAGTATATGGGTGAAAAGTATGTGCAAGAAGAGTTTCTGGGTGAAGAGTCTCTGGGTGAAAAGTATATGAGTGAAAAGTATGTGCACGAAGAGTTTCTGGGTGAAGAGTCTCTGGGTGAAAAGTCTGGGTGAAAAGTATGTGCAAGAAGAGTTTCTGGGTGAAGAGTCTCTGGGTGAAAAGTATATGGGTGAAATGTATGTGCAAGAAGAGTTTCTGGGTGAAGAGTCTCTGGGTGAAAAGTATATGGGTGAAAAGTATGTGCAAGAAAAGTTTCTGGGTGAAAGTATATGGGTGAAAAATATGTGCAAGAAAATTTTCTAGGTGAAGAGTCTCCGGGTGAAAAGTATATTGGTGAAAAGTATGTGCAAGAAGAGTTTCTGGGTGAAGAGTCTCTGGGTGAAAAGTATATGTGTGAAAAGTTTGTGCAAGAAGAGTCTCTGGGTGAAAAGTATATGGGTCAAAAGCATGTGCACGAAGAGTTTCTGGGTGAAGAGTCTCTGGGTGAAAAGTCTGTGCAAGAAGAGTTTCTGGGTGAAGAAGAGTTCTGGGTGAAAAGTATATGGGTGAAAAGTATGTGCAAGAAGAGTTTCTGGGTGAAGAGTCTCTGGGTGAAAAGTATATGGGTGAAAAGTATGTGCAAGAAGAGTTTCTGGGTGAAGAGTCTCTGGGTGAAAAGTCTGTGCAAGAAGAGTTTCTGGGTGAAGAATCTCTGGGTGAAAAGTATATGGGCGAAAAGTATGTGCAAGAAAAAAAATTGGGTGAAGAGTCTCTTTGTGAAAAGTATATGGGTGAAAAGCCTGTGCAAGAAGAGTTTCTGGGTGAAAAATCTCTGGGTGAAAAGTATATGGGTGAAATGTATTGAAGAGTCTCTGGGTGAAAAGTATGGTGGAAAATAGGGGTAGATGGGATGCTGGCTTTCGTTCCCCCCTTCTCAGGTTTTCTGGCCATTTTTTGGACAACAGAATCTTAGTTGCATTCAAATTCAGTGTACGCCTCGATATTAGCTCACGGGCAATCGATTGCCACACAGGACCATAGTCTGCCTGAAATCCATTCGCATCCTCCATGTTCTCCTGGTTCCATCATGTTCCAATCATGTTCCATCCCCAGCTAGGTTCCCTTCAATCATCAATCCCCCCATCTTGGGCGATTTCCCCTTACCACCATCAGGTGCTCCTTCGCGGCAGGTAACAGAGCTGATCATTGCCCAGCTGCTGTATTTGAACTATGAGTCTGCTGACAAACCGGCGGGGCCTGACTTGGAGTAACGGGAGACGTCACGGAGACGTCGGGTTTCCAGGAGACGTTCTGAAGTTTGCTGGAAAAAGGTGGTTTTTGAAACAGCCACTTCATCACAATATGATTTTATGATGTCTATGGCAGACCCAACAAAAAATATGGAAGTGGGCATTGGAGCAGTGAAACCATGTTGAACCCCAGAAATGCTTTGGTCTGTATGGGGGGTTCCCCTAAAAATAGGGCGACCCCAAACCATTGGGGTTTTCCCATGGTTTTCCCCGTTGTTTTCCCACGGTTTCCTGACTCGCCAGATCACTCTGTACATCAACAGTACTGGATCCACCATCAAGAACAACACCAGGCCTGCCGACCATTACGGCTAGCACATGGAATATCAAAAATAGATTAGTTGCACTTAGAATATGGAAACTATTTCTAAAAAGTAATTTCTGGATTTCCTCCACATTTTTTTTCACTCCGGCCCATTGCTGCGGTTCGCTGCGGCCTTGCATGATGCTGAATTCGACACCTACTTTGGCTTCACCCTGCGAAGTCTGCGCCAATGTAGTATACTGTACTCTGTCACGGACATTGACTTCCATTTGGCAATATCTGCCTCAGGTGGCATTTCGGTGTCCATCACGATCAACTGGTCAAGCTGATCGCGGAAAGCTTCCGCTAGAGCCCCACAAAGGGCAGGCGGATACTCCTTAAGGAGTGCTGTGCGGAAAAACCCCTCCTCAGTGACTCCAATTGCTTGGCCTCTGGGGAGTTCTGGGCGAGTAAGCCATTTCCGTAGGTAGAGGGGGAGCTTTGGCATGTTGATGGTCAGCAACTCAGTTGGCTTGGCCGTCGGTGCGCCGAAAAGACCCTGACTGAGTCGAAGTCGTTGTACACCAGGCGCTTGCATAAGCGCAAGCATCACCGGAAGCTTCCAGATGGATGCAACTTCAGGTTCCTCTGGCTCTGCTGGGTGTTCAACAACACCAGAACCGCCCGTGCACACGACCTGGCCAGCCATCAATAACGTGAAGGTCAGCAACTCGTTGCCTGTGATCACCTGCTTCACCTCCTTCAACGCTAAACATTGCAAGCCCCATAGGTTTGAAGCATCCCTCACAACCCGCGGGCCACGGCCAGAGACAAGCTTTCGTCCCCTGGCTTTGGACCATGTCTCACATGTGAGGAGGCCCCGCGAGAAAGGCTGCGATGTAGCCATCCTTCGCCATCTTGAGCCAGTAATTCCTCGTGCCAACCGCCATAGCGTCTCCCCAAACCGCATCGACAACGATATCCATGCTTACAACGTGCAAAACATACTCGCTGGGCACCTCCATGTTGTCCAGGAAATGTTGCACGTCGCCCATACGGCGTCTACCCGAAAACATGTGCAAGAAGATGCGATGTCTTCCGAATTGCCTTGGAATGTCAGCGCACTTTTCCCACGTCGTCACAGCCACATCGCGACATTCTTGCTCTAACTCCTCCAGGTCTGTGTTGTCATGCACCGGAGGATGCTGCAGTCCCCATTGCTCCGGGTCAAGCAGCTCTGTCAATCGTGCTCGTGCTTCTTGGGCGGAAACAGTCCATCGCTCCACGTCCTCATCTTCCAGTGTCTCCATGAAATAGCGCAGGGTACTTGTCCAGGTACTCCAGGAGATAGGACGCTGCAGTGCCTCCACGTTGAAGGCCTGCAGAGCGCTGGACAAGTCCTCCGCATCGATGAAGGTCTCCATGTAGAACAAACATGTGAAGGTCATTGTCAATCGCATGCTCTTCTCTGATACGCGGCGAAGGTTGTCGGGGTCCTTCAGCCTGAATTGGAGGTAGAAGACGATCATGCTGCTGGCTCAGCTCTCGGTCTTGCTGCGATCCCGCACCCGGTGGCGGTTGGCAGGCATAGTTGCGACTCATAAGCAATTGTCGGCAAGCCTTGACATAGTAGAGGTGCGCAGACAGCTTCTTCATCGTGTGATACTCTTTCAGGCATGATGGGCACACAGTGGAGTCACTCAAGAATCGGCGTTTGGCAACTTGTTGATGAACTCTGAACATGTGAGCCGCTTCTCCAGCTCGAGTGCGGCAGAGTTTTTGGCAGCTCAAGCACCCATACACTTCGTGCCTTCGATGGCCTGGAGCAGTGCGGTGCGGCTCATAGTCATAGAGGGCCCTGAAAATGTTCAGCATCTCCACATGGAATCGATGAACCAGCCAGCGCTTTCTTCTTTGCTGTATGGCATGCTCGCTGGCCCTGCGGACAATCCGACGCCAATAGGAGCGATGATGTATGATCAGGTCCTTCCAGGTGGCCCAGTCAATGCGTGGGTCTGGCAAAGATGAACTGTGCCAGATCTGACGCCAGACCCACACCATGTCGTCTTCTACCAGGTTCGTCCAAGCTGCATCGTGTGCCAGGAGGCCCCATTCATGTCGGGGTCCGCAATGGAGTAGTGTGGCCACATACCTAAGTCGGGCTCGTCGAACCAGTTCCATCGGACTCGGCATGCTGACTTCCGTCAAAATTGCATCATCTGCGATATGATGATCAGCTGGAATTGGAAGCAATCTGCGATACATCTTGATGACGGCGGTATGAAAGCGATCCACTGTCACGTTGTCATTCACCACCCATGTCTCCGCACCGTATAAGAGCTTGCTCAAGATCAGCGACTCAAATAACTGGGTACGCTTCTTGAGAGGCAATCTCCAATTTCGAAAGAGCAGCTTGCTGTGGTGGTTGAGCGCCGCAAACGCAATTCCGACACGCTTCTTGATCTCTTCCTTCTGATCAGTCGAGTGATGGAGAATGCCTCCTAAGTGACAATAGCTGGCGGTGAGCGGTACTTCATGGAGTCCATACTCTGAAATGACCGGAAAATTGCCCGTGGAGTGCGGACCATGGTAGAGCTGCTTGTAGTGGCGTGAACGCTCCCCGCTGAACGAAAATAAGATCTCCGTCTTATTCTTGCTGAGGTTGGGCGTCATGCAATGCTCCAAGCAGAGTTCCAGCAATCTACTCATAACGACCCCCATGTTGGCAACAGTGTCAGCTGCTGTCGGACCCTCGACACAGACTGCCAAGTCGTCCATCCACGTCGGTCCTACAAACTCGTCAGTTCCGTCATGAACTTGTTCAGGATCCGCAAATAGCTGAATCTGTGGCCAACTGGGAAATGTGCTAATCAAGCCATTGGCACTCATGAAGGATTGGAGCTTGCGTAGCACTACAGCCCAGACATAACTGAACACAATGTCTGCAAAAGGATCTCCTGGCCTAGTGCCTTGTGCAGTTTGGACCACATCCTGTTGTCGGTTCATCCAAAAGTGAGTCTGGAGATGAACTGCTTGCAGGCTTCGTCTGTCAATGGCTGGCAGCTGCGCTTGCTCCAATGCCGAAGGTCCATCCAGGGTTTGTCTGAGAGCCTGCAAGGCATCCGGCGGCATGTTCAATCGGCACATGAGCTTGGCCAGATCCTCGTCAGTGACGGCGCCCTGCATGCAAATGGGTCTGAAGATCCTATAGAACGCTTCTTTCAGGTCTAAAAATGCAATGGCGCACGATTTGCCCTGGGCTTTGGCTTGGCGCATGTAGGCACGTGCTAAGTGGACCCCGTACGTGACCGGCATGGCCCGTCGCCCCCCAAGCTGTTGCGCTTGCAAGAAGGATTCAAATGTAGAGGCTTGGGCAGATCGCAATGTCCGATGGATGGATTTGCCAATGTGACTTGAGATCAGCAAAGACCTGTACGAACTGCAAGAAGTAGTGGCACCCTTACCTTTATATGCTTGGACTAAGAGGCCTCCCTTGTGCATGAGCGGCTCGTGCCCGAAGAGGAGGAGTTTCCACATAGAAGCAAACGTGGCTTGCGCGCATTTTTCGGGAGCAAAATGGCAGACTTCTCCAGGATACCATCAGGTCCAGTGGCTTTGTTACACGCCACTTTCCTGTATGCCAGTTCTAGGTCAACCAGGGTTGGGAGCTGCTTGGCCTCGATCTGGAAGTTGGCCCTGGGTCGATCTTTTAAAGAACGCAGCCAATCCTCTTTGAGCTCATCATGCGTCTGACGAAAGCCACCTTCCATGCTGGCAAAAAACTCAATCCAAACGTCAAGGGCTTCACTTGGAGAGCTGCACGGAGTCTCATCAGGCCGATGTACCAGCGGAATGGTAGCTTGCTTTCTCTTGCGTGGATTGGTCGGGCCCGTAAATTCACGCATGAGTTTGAGGATGCTACCGGCAGGTGTGTTTTCATCAATGTTGGCCAGTCGCTTTTTCATCGTCTCAGTCTTGGCAACTTTGAGCTGTGCACGAAGTTGGGAGCGGTGGCAAAGGAGTGCAGCCATGTGATGCAAAATGCCAGCCCGCAGTGTGGTGCCGTACTGGGACGCTTCTTCTCTGGAGACGTCACTGTCTCGCTGACTCCATGCTTTGAAAGCCATAGCCAAGCATTCTCGCCCAAGTAGAGCACGTCCTCGTTTGAGTTGCTTTCGGCTATGAAGCATGAGCTGTCTGGTTCTCCAAATATCGTCACTGATATACGACTTCTTGGGGCCCAGAGGCTTTTTGCCACGTACATTCCTCATCGCTTCATGGAAAGCCGTTCTCACTTGACATTCATGTGCCTCTATGTCAGCGTCCCAGGATGGGACTGTCATGCTGTTAAGGGCAGTGCGAAGGTTTGCAGGCGTGTTTGGCGATGTCCAGTCAATGAAAGGGAGCTCCTGCTTCTGCTCTTTGGGCGCAATAAGTTTGCTCCAACAAAGCTGGATTCCAACAGCCTGATGGTCATCTCGTGAGGTTGCGAGGTCAAGCTCGTGCAGGACTTGTGACCATGTACAGGACGATAGCCATGTCATCGGAATGGCGATGTAATCCAAACAATGTGTTGTGGTGCCATCAATGGATGTCCAGGTGTCACGATCTCCTTGATGAATGCAAGTGGTGGACGGCAGGCACATCTCAAAAGTCCGCAGACATCTTCGCCACAGCTCTGTGTTGCGCGAGCTGCGCAAGCCTCTCTGGAAGACCGTGCAATTGTCGGCTACTCCTGGTTCTGCATTGGCGTCCATCATCCAAAAACAAGGATGTTGGTCCAGGAAGTTGCTCAGGATGTCCATTGTGGCACTCCACCAGGCCTCTCGCTCTTGGGCGGACTTGCCGGAATGTGGCCCATGTCCAACAAAAAACCAACAAACAAAGTCCTTGTTCCCGACTTTGATGAGGAGTCTGCGTGGATCACGGACAACAACTTGGAAGTCCGATTTGTGAAAGTAAAGCTTTTTGCCATCTGCTGTATGACCAATGGGTTGGCTGAGATTGACCCAAAGCTCCATTCCGCAGGATTTTCTGTCGTGCCCTCCA